ATATATATATATGAATGAATGAAAATTGAAAAATATCAGAGACGACAGATTGTTACATGCTAAATGCAATCATCAGGCCTGAAGATTGATTTTAGCATGAAGCAGTCTGTCACCTCTGAGTGTTGACTTGTATGTTCAGTATTATATATTTACACACGCTCTATCTCTGATATTGAGCACTTTATCCCATAAATATAGCATACTTTTAAAACTTTATTTTCTTCATATATATATATATATATATATATATATATATATATATATATATATATATTACGGTCGGTAATGTAATACCGAATCACATCTAATTCTAAATATATTTGTATATATAGTGCAACTTATCTGCCTGTCATCAGCATAGCTGAGGCATTACTTCAGGTGAAGAATATTCTAAGTCTTCTTGGTAACACGTTTTCAACTGACTTTAATTGGAGCGGCTCTATCGAAATATCAGTTGCATCTACTACAAGAAATGTTGTTTCCACTGTGTCGTGCCAGAATATTTTTCTCGTCAGAATCCATCCTGCACATTTACAAATCTACGAAGGAATTGAATATTTCTTCCATATCTGGTCTGGTGCCCATGTTGCACATGTAGAGATTCTTGGTAAAATCCAAAGAAAGATTCGTAATGTAATCACTCCTGACAAGGCATCTCTACTTCTCACTTGGCTAATGTCAGTTTTTCCTGTAAATATTTTCATGGCATCTGCACGAACGAGTTTTCTTCCCTGGTGTTTCGAATACATGAATTTAAGCCTGCTACTTGATTGGCATCTAGGTCCCACCCGTTTAATATTGAAATACCCAAATTGTGAAAACAATGTTTTCTGGAAGGGCGCCAGAGTCTCGGCTCCGGTCACTTTGGCACCGCCGTAAATACATTTACCTGTGCCTTTTCTATAAACACTTTCATGATAAGTTTAATGAGTTCTTCACCAAACTGTTTAGACTTTATGCATTTAAGTTCTGTGATAGAATAGCAACAATGTCTTGTCATTGTACAGTTGAATTTGCAAGATCAGCGCTTATTAAACTTTTTCATTCATGGCCCCATTTTTCATGACGAGATTTTTGTCGACCCCTGGTATTAACTAACTACACTAAAAATACATCCCTTGTCACTACACTCCTCGCAAGGACGCCGCACGTGCGCTTTATTACCTCATCACTTGTGAGGCCCATTACCGTAAATATTGTACATTTGTGAAATAACATAAGTGAAATTCAAGTCTTTGAATTTAATTTTCTTGACCCTATCATTTCACTTCGCGACCCTATTTGTGTTAATCCAGGTTCTCATGTGATTAAACCCTTACAGTATTACTGGGCTAGATGTAACTGTAAATCATATGATGACAGTTTCTTTTCATGCACTTATCGCATGTGGAACTCTCTTCCGGCTACACCATTTCCAGCCATCTTTGATCTCCAAACGTTTAAATGCAATGCCAGATGTTATCTGCTGTCGTGATTTCTCGTCTATTATTTTCGATCCTTCCTCATATTTCTGTTTTCTAATTTTTCTACACTCAAGAGCCCTTTGCTTTGGGGTGAATTCGATAAGAAAAACAACTTTTGGACCTTACCCATTTGAACAGTGGCACAGATCTTTAAGCCAGGACTGATATGTCAAGTCGATCAGAGGTGCCTCTAGCAGAATCCGAACATTGTGTGAAATTCGACCGGAGGAAAAAGAAACTATAGTCTCTCAAAGGTGAGCTCTTTGCAAGGAACTATCTCATGTTAACGCACCGTGTGCTGTAAGCGAAGATTAGTAAAACAGACGTACATTAATGCGACTTCCTATCTTTTATTAGCCTTATCTATAAAAAAAAAATAGAGACGTAAGTACTAACTTTATTGCGTTATCTTCACTTTTCCTTTTCAGAATACTAATTCATAATGGCTGCTACCCTCGAAAAACATAAAATCTAGTGCTGCATTACAACTGATTTTGGAGGGTGAATGACTGCATACATTCACAAGAGGTTAGTAAATGTGTAATGATATGATATACTTGAAGGAAACAAAATAAGTACATTAGTCAATATAGCTAATGTCTATCCTCGTAAGAAAGTGGAAACAAGTGACAGGATCCTCAGTGGTAGCTCAGCTGCTGCTTTAAATGGAGTTAAGACCACAGAGTATGATGCCTTCATTGCATCTGGTAAAAGAATAGATGCCAGAAAACAAAAGTGTGCAGTCAGTTTGTGAATCATGGTAGTGCCTGCAGTTTATCGAAAAATGTTGACTACTGAAAATTTGCACAAACAGCTTTCCTAGAATATAGGATCAGCTATTCGTCCTTGCTGCTGATCGAATTCTCATATAGCTAAGAAAATAGCAATGGATCTTAAATGAGGTGGATAGATTTTGTGGTGTAAAAAGACGACTGACCTTCTTTGCACTACTAATTGAACAGGCACTCCTCTATCCGCTATGAAAATAACGCCCGCTCGTAGATACGGTCGCCGCAAAGTAAGTCGCAAGGCGTAACGTTTGAGACGTACGCATTGCCGCACTGAACTAATGTGTTCTCTGGTGAGTTGAGAAGACGGTGTCAGTTCGGTGAAAAAGTTATCTCTACACTAATTGCTGAATATGAACTCGTCCACCGAGTATGGGTAGTGTGTCTCCTTATAGAAACGTTCGGTAAGGTAGGTAAGGCACAAGGCGTAGCTTTTGAGTCGTACGCATAGCCGCACAGAACTACAGTATACTCTATTGTTGTATTATTAATCCATGTCTCTTTTGTGTGATCAAACCTGTTCTTGAGTCAACCTTTTGTTCCAATGTTTCCCTTACAGTATTACTAACCAGCAACTATGAACGTTATACGAACTTTATAACACAATCAATCTTTCCATTTGCTAAGTTTGTGGATGAAGAAATCATAGCGCTTTAAGTCGCACTGAACTACTGCATTCTCAATCCAGGTTCTCATGTGATTAAACCCTTCTTCATTCAAACCTTTTAATCTATGTCTCTCTCGTGTGATCAAACCTGTTCTTGATTCAAACCTTTTTTTTTCCAATGTTTCCCTTACAGTATTACTAAACAGAACTACGAGCATTATACAACCTTTATAGCAAGCAAACAGTCATTTGAAAACGGAATACGAAGAGTTGAGACAGAATGAAACTATGTTAAGAAAGAAGCATATTTGCCAACGGGCGATTTTCTGGTTAATATGGAATTTATTTTTTTTTTCCTTTGACAATGAAATATTTCGTTCTTTTATTCTTTCTTATTTTTTTATCTGCCACTTTTTCTTTTTGGCTTGCATTTCATTCATTGATTCTTTCATTCATTGATTCTTTCATTCATTGATTCTTTCATTCTGTCTATCGGCCTGACACGTTTTTAATTAATTATTTTTTTTTTCTACTTTGTTTTCTTTCATTGAGTCAGTCGCTTTGCTCGTTTTTTTTTTACTTTTTTGTTTATTTCTTTTTTCTTTCTTTTTTTAGTTTGTCATTTTTCTTTGTTTATTTCTCTTTTCTTTCTCTCTTTCTTTTTTTAGCTTGGTTCTATTTTCTTTCTTTCTTTTTTCTTTCTTTCTTAGTTTGTATTTCTCTTTATTTATCTTTTCTTTCTTTCAATCTATTTTCTTTCTTTCTTTCTTTCTGTCTTATTTTGTATTTTGTCGTTATTTCTCTTTTCTTTCTCTCGTTCTTTTTTTAGTTTCGTTCTATTTTCTTTCTTTTTTCTTTCTTTCTTCGTTTGTATTTCTCTCTATTTCTCTTTTCTTTCTTTCAATCTATTTTCTTTCTTTCTCTCTTTTTTTTTGCTCTTTGACAGTGAAATATTTTTTTATTCTTTCTTACTTATTTTGCATCTGCCACTTTTTCTTTTTGGCTTGCATTTCACTCATTTTTTCTTTCATTCTGTCGATCGGTCTGGTACGTTTTTAAACAATTATTCGTTTTAGTTCTTTGTTTCTTTCATTCAGTCTGTCGCTTTTGTTTATTTTTCTTAACTTTTTCTTTTTTTTAGTTTGTCTTTCTCTTTCTTCATTTCTTTTTCATTCTTCCTTCCTTTCTTTATTAGTTTTTCTTTATATTTTGTTTATATCTCACTTCTTTCTATTTTAGTTTGTTTTATGTTTTTATTTATTTCCCTTTTTTTCTTTCTCTCTTTCTTTCTTTCATTCTTTCTTTCTTTCATTCTTTCTTGAGTTTGTCTTTCATTTTTGTTTATTTCTCTTTTTTTCTTAATGTATTTAGTTTTTCTTTTTTGTTATTTATTTTTCTTTCTTTCTTTCCTTCTTCTTAGTGTGTCTTTTGTGTTTCTTTTTTCTGTTTCTTTGTTTCGTTTATTTTCTTTTTTCTTATTTTTCCCTCTCTCTTTTCTATTTGTACTTCATTTGGCCAGACCCATTTTTATTTAATTATTCTTTTTTATTTCTTCATTGTTTTTTTATTTTTTATTCAGTCTGTCGTTTTGTTTGCTTTCTATTTCTCTTTCTTTTGCGTCTTTCTTTTTAGGCAGATTTATTTTGTATTTGCCTTTAATTCTTTCTTTCTGTCTTTCAATCTAGTATTATGACTATTACTTCCTTTGTTACATTTTTCTTACTTTCTCTCTGTTTGTCTTTATCGTATGTATTTTTCTAGCAGTATGTCGTTTTGATAGTTTTCCTTGCTTTCTATCTTTCTTTCTTTCTTTCTTAGTTCTTTTTTTTCTTTCTTTCTTTCTTTCTTTCTTTCTTTCTTTCTTTCTCCCTCTTACTTATGTTTCTATTTCTCTTTTTTGTTTTTCATACTTTCGTTCATTCTGTCTATCGGTTTAAACAATTATTTCTTTCTTTCTTTTTGCCGGTCTGTCTTTCTATCTTCTTTTTTTCTTACTTTCTTTCATTCTTTCTTTCTTTCTTTTTTTCTTACTTTCTTTCATTCTTTCTTTCTTTCTTTTTTTCTTACTTTCTTTTATTCTTTCTTTTTTTCTTACTTTCTTTCATTCTTCCTTTCTTTTTTTCTTACTTTCTTTCATTCTTTCTTTCTTTCTTTTTTTCTTACTTTCTTTCATTCTTTCTTTTTTTTTTCTTTATTTTTTCTTTCTTTCTTTTTTTCTTACTTTCTTTCATTCTTTCTTTCTTTTTTCTTACTTTCCTTTCATTTTTTCTTTCTTTTTTTTTTTCTTTCTTTTCATTCTTTCTTTCTTTTTTTTTTTTTTTTCTTTCATTCTTTCTTTCTTTTTTTTCTTACTTTCTTTCATTCTTTCTTTTTTTCTTACTTTCTTTCATTCTTTCTTTCTTTTTTCTTACTTTCTTTTATTCTTTCTTTCTTTTTTTTCTTACTTTCTTTTATTCTTTCTTTCTTTCTTTTTCTTACTTTCTTTCATTCTTTCTTTCTTCTTTTTTTCTTACTTTCTTTCTTTCATTCTTTCTTTCTTTTTTTGTTTCTTTGTCTTTCCTTATTTGCTTTTTGCATTCTGACTGTCTTTTTGTCAATTTGTTTGTTTCTCTCTTTCTTTCTTTCTTTCTTTCTTTCTTTCTTTCTTTCTTTCTTTCTTTCTTTCTTTCTTTCTGTCTTTCTTTCTTCCTTTCTTTCTTTCTATTTGTTTGTTTCTTTTTCTTTATTTTATTTTCAATCACAATACTATGTCAACCTTATTAAATATCTCCCTTCATAATTTCAGTGCACTTATTTCTTAGTCTGCAAATGGTATGATCTTGTTTACCCATGATGCATTGGTACAACAGATGATTAATTTCCGGCCACTTCAGCGTTCTGTACGGTGTAAGCAAAAATACAAAACACTTATCATTGAGAGTCAAGCTGTAAAAAATATAAATTCTAACGGTTTTTAAGGAATAGCGAGATGGGGTAGAAGCGAGGAAATATCAGGGTAAAGAAAATGTCAGTCCTGGCCTCAGTGTAGGGGTGGGTGGACATATTATCAAGGGATACAAGATCTTCGAATTTGTTTTCCAGACTCAGGAACGTAATTGACAATAAATCAATCAATGAATAAATAAATAAATAAATAAAAATAAAATAAAATAAAAAATAAATTGGTTCGGAATATTGAATTTGTTCCTGATATTACTTTCATTGATTGATCTTTGTGTAATATCCGTAATTTCCTCACTGAAGCACACCCCCTAAGAAAACACCCCAAATATCGTTTGAAACAATAATAATAATAATAAAAACAATACACAAAAAGTGAAAGTAAAGCATTCTTTTTTTTTCTTCTTTTTTTGCCGTCTTTGAAAATATCAGAGATTGCATTGCTTTGTCAGAGAAGGAATTAACATTTTTTTTTCTTTTATTTATGACGGTCAAACGTTACAGAAAAAAACGAAGTGATTATTGAAAAGAAAATATCTCCTCTTTAATTGCAAGTAAGGATAAATTAAAAAAAAAAAAGAAGGAATTTCGGTCAAGGTTAGTCTTTGTACGCGATAGTTAAAAAATAATTCAAACACAGTTTTTTTTTTTTTCTTCTACCCTGAATGTTGCACATTCTGATATTCAATATAAGACCTGGGGAAAAATAAAACTAGATGTTGCTTCTGTAGTTTTCATAGCAAATAGTTATTTTACCGAGTGGAGTTGCAGCTCCATGGACAGAAAGTCTTTAATTCAGAGGTGTTAACAAAATCTTAATAGCTCGGAATGTCATACCCTTAAGCATTATATGCAAATTTAGAGAGAGGAGATGCATTTATAGTCAACATCTAATTAGTATTTCTTCTATATATTTATTATCACCATTCGTACATATTACAGACGGGGTCTGATATCTGTGTTAAATAATATTTTCGTACTATTATGTTTTTCAATGGCAGTGTATTTTGGCTTAGATCTCCAAAGGCTGACCTTAAGTCCAGATGGTAGACAAAACAAAGGAAGTCCTTTTTGATTGGTCAAATCTAGCGTGAGAAGGTGAAAAAGATAGAAAGTATTTTCAGTTAGTTAGGATTTGCATGTCAAACAATGTGTACGTGTTAAAATCGTGTCTCGAGGCTTGCTCCCCAGTGGGGTGGTATAATAACCCCCGACTGGATAATTAATATATAAATAATGTAACGTGTCTAATAAAGTACTGTCAAAATCCTTTTTGTTGAAGTTCTCCTTTTACCTCGGAACAAACCCACTAGCGAACACCCGGTCGAGAGGACAATGAAAAGAGAAGAAGACAATTTTATTATGATCGCCTCAAGACCGTCCAGCAAAAAAACCTCCCTAGAAGATATATATATATATCCGGTGGAGCAGTGGTTAGCGGCTTGGATTGAGGAATCGCAGAGCCGAGTTCCAGTCGAATCCACTGCATTCACTTACGTGCTAATACCCTTGGGAAAGGTATGTATCCTCTTCATCGCCCTCCAGCTATGGGTAAAATAGAAGGACAGACTGGGTTCTATAGCCTTGGATGGCAACTGGTCTAGGAGAAGGACAACTCTGAATTCAAAACCTGCGGAGGGTCGTTTGGGAACCTTGTGGCATGTATTCGGTGCACCAGGTTTCTGTATTCATCCCTCCAAAA